ATTTTTCCTTGTCAAAGTTGAAAGAATAATACCTTTTTAAAAAATGTTAGCTATATTGAGTTGTAATTACATTTACAAATTTATTTATAAGTTCTAAGTGTATAATTTGATAGACTTTAGCAAATATATGCAGTATATATAACTACTGCCATAAATATGAACAATTTCATTGTGCTAAAATGTTCTCATGACCTTTAGTAGTCAGTCCCTCCGGATAGTAGTAACTACTAAAAGCTATTGTGCAAAATGGTACTGTTTTGCCTTTTCTAAAATTTGTATAAATGGAATCATATAATATGTAGTCTTCTGTGTCTACATTTTTTCACTTAGGATGTTTTTGAGATTTATCTGTGTTGATTCATGTTTCAGTAGTTGGTTTATTTTTGTTTCTGAGTGGCATCTCATTGTATGGATGCACCATAGTTTCTTTAGCTGTTTATGTTTACCTCATGATAGAAATTTAGATTTCCAGTTTGGCGCTTTTTTTGAATACAATTTATTGAAAATATTATGAACATTCTGGTATAAATCTTTGTATTAAACATGTTTTCATTTCTCTTGAGGAAAGAATTCTAGGAGTGGGCGGGGCCAGTGGCTCAAAGGAGTAGGGTGCTGGCCTCATATGCCAGAGGTAGTGGGTTCAAACCCAGCCCCAGCCAAAAACTGCAAAAAAAAAAAAAAGAGTTCTAGGAATGGAATTGATAGGTTTTATAGAATGTGTATTTTTAACTTCATTAAAAACTGTCGGACTGATGTCCAGTTTTCTTTCTATAGTAGGTGTATCGTCTTACATTCTTACCAGCAGTATGAGATTTGTCTGTTCTGTAACTTCCATGACTTTGCTAACACTTAGTATTGTTGATTTTTAATTTTAACCATTGTAGTGAATGTGTAGTGGTGCCTCACTGAGGCTTTTATTGTGTTTCCCAATGACTAATGATGGCGTCTTTTTTATGCATATTTGTCATTTGTGTATTTTCTTTGATTAAGTGTTTATTCAAATCTATTGTATTTTTTAATTTTTTTATTGGGTTGGTTTCCATCTTACCAAGTTGTGAGTTTTCTTTTCTTTCTTTTTTTTGAGACCCATATCTGTTGCCCTGGGTAGAGTGCCATGTCGTCATACTCACAGCAACCTCAAACTCTTGGACTGAAGTAGCTGGGACTACATACACCCATACCTGGCTAGTTTTTCTATTTTTTTTTAGTTGTGGCAGGGTTTTACTCTTCTTAGGCTGATCGTGAACTCGTGAGCTTAAGCAATCCACTTGCCTCAGCCTCTCAAGAGTGCTGACATTATAAGTATGAGCCACTGCATGCAGCCTAGTATTCTTTATTATGGATATAATTTCTATTTGATAAGAGCAAATATGTTTATCAAAGTATTATATCATACACTTAGAATTTGTAAATTGTTAAATGTATAACTCAATAGAGTTAATTTAAAAAATAAAGAATATTTTGTTACATCCTGTTTTTATTGAAATGATGAATAGATTTTAATTTTGAGAAAGTTTATTAACTTTTGTTATAGTTTATGGATCTATATGGATCTGTATGGATTTTATGTTACAGTTTCATTTTTTGGTATTCCTCATTAGTATATAGAAATACAGGTGATACTTTATGTGTTATCACTTTGTTCAACTGAAATATTTTGGATTTCTACTAAGAAAATCATACCTATAAATGCAGACAGTTTTACCTTTTCCATTCTAATCTAATGAATAGATTAGAATTACAATTAGATTACAATTTCTTTCTTTAAATTTTTCTTGCTTTATTAAACTAGCAAGGATCTTCAGTACTTTGTTGACTATTAATAGTGAAAATAGACTTTTTTGTTCCAACTCTTAAGGAAAAAAGGAATAGTCTTGCAGCATTGGATGCTACTACAGGTTTCTTGTAGATGGCCTCTGTCGATGGTTGAGGAAGTTCTTCTAATTTGTTGAAAGTCTTTTTTATCATGATCAGGTATTGAACTTTGTCAGGAGGATTTCTTGCATTATTGAGATGATTGTCTGACTTTCCTTTTTTAAGTCTGTTAAAAATAAGGAAATCTTTTGATGATTTTCAAACGATTAACTTAATTTTACATTCCTGAGATAACCTTACTTTTTAATGACTCATTAATTTTTTTATATTGCTGGATTCAGTTTGCTAATATTTTAAGATTTTAAGTGTCTGTTTAAGAGGGCTAGGCTGGGTGCCTATGGTTCAAGTGGCTAAGGCGCTAGCCACATACACCTAAGGTGGCGGGTTCAAATCCAGCCTGGGCCCGCCAAACAACGACGCTACAACCAAAAAATAGCCGGCGTTGTGGCAGGCGCCTGTAGTCCCAGGTACTTGGGAGGCAGAGGCAGGAGACTCACTTGAGCCCAGGAGTTGGAGGTTGTTGTGAGCTGGATGCCACGGCACTCTGCCCAGGGGGACAGCTTGAGGCTCTGTCTCAAAAAAAAAAAAAAAAA